AGAGCTACTGTACTTCAAAAGAATGTTTTAAAACATATATAGTCATGTTAAAACTAAGGAACTTGCCCTACTGTTCTATGAGTTTCATGGGGGCATCCCATCTGTTGTGTCCATACTAGGAAGCAAGGGGAAAGAGATCTTTTGGCACTTCTAGTGTTTACTCTTTTTTTTTTTTTGAGATGGAATCTTTGTCGCCCAGGCTGGAGTGCAGTGGCGTAATCTTGGCTCACTGCAACCTCCACCTCTCAGGTTCAAGCAATTCTCCTGCTTCAGCCTCCCAAATAGCTGAGACTACAGGCGCCCGCCACCACGCCTGGCAAATTTTTTGTATTTTTTAAGTAGAGACGGGGTTTCACCACGTTAGCCAGGATGGTCTCGATCTCCTGACCTCATGATCCACCCGCCTCGGCCTCCCAAAGTGCTGGGATTACAGGCGTGAGCCACCGCGTCCGGCCGTGTCTACTCTTTTCTAATCGAATGTTTTTTAAGCTGTGAGTTGTAACCCATCATTTGGTCCTGAAATCTACTCACTGATTCAGTTATCATCACTCAAAAATGAAATATAATAAAACAGAAAATAGAATCTATTACATTTATATGAGTAACTATTGTTTTCTGAAAGTTTTGTTCTGGTTGTGTATGTGTATACATACTAATAAAACCCATTCAATCCATCCTCCAAGCAACAGCAGAACTGTCTTTCTAAAGGCACATCCGAAAAAGTCATTCTTGGCCTCAAACTCTTCTCTCAGTTCCCATAACAGCCAGCCTAATGTCTATGCTTTGTTTTGATGTCATTTAAGATCCTTTATCCAACTCCTCTCCCATGGTCCTGCTACTTGTGATTTCAGAAAATGACATCACCATCTACTCAGTTGCTCAAGCTCAAAACCAGGTAGTTTTTCTGTCCCCCACCTCTTTTCCAACCTACTCACCAATGTTATCTCTTTGTTCTCATCTGGTCTGAGTCAAAATTGACGACTTCAAAGCAGCCTTCCCTAACCCCTCAACCTACACCAGCCTCTAAACCTTCTACAGTCTCTATAACACATTGTCTTCTTTTGTATTTTTCATAATGTTTCCACCTGAAATTATTTTGTCTATTCTTGTAAATGTGTTTAGTACCTCTCTTCCCACCAGTGTGTAAGCTGCATAGGGGCAGGGACCTGATCTTTCTCTGGTTGTCTCTCTGGTGTTAAGGTCAGTCGGGGAGCATGTAGAAGAGGCAAAAAAAGATATTTACCAAATGAAAGGATGCTTGAACTAGACTTGTGGCTTCCCAAATGTCCTCTTTTACCTTTTTGTTATAGTATCTTCTGTTTTCTCTGTCTAAAACGTACTGCACCCACTTATTCTCTTGGTAGCCTTAGTATCCTTTAAGATTTTATCTCTTGTATTAAAAATTTCCCGATGCCCTTGGACTGTGCCATAGACTGTGCGTCTATGACCTTAGGGTGCAACTGACCCAGACCAGAATAGTGTTGTTCTCAGTGACACTACAGCCTTCTTACTCTCTGAATTGTGGTCATTTTCATATTGGTCCTCCCTGCTGGACTATCAGCTTCCTCAGGGCAAGGCCATGTTTATTCACACTTTTTACCTCCTCAACTCCCAGCACATACTTGATACGTATACTACTGTATATAGTTATTCAATACATGACTGAATAAACAAAAGAAAGTGGATGATCAAGAAAGATGATTATTTGTGATGATGTTCCCGATTTAAGCTTTAAGTAAATCATATTCTTGATTTATAAGAAGAAGGAGATTAGTGTGTGTACATTCTGTAAAAAGTATGTAGGGGAGGGATGAGAGGAAGTACAAAGAAAAGTGTAATTGTTCTATACAAAACACTTCTATTTATAAAATGGATCATTTTAAATATCAAGCTGTCTTAGTTCATTTACAATCTGATGTGATTGACCACATTTCATTTCTACATGGTTTTTCAGACCCGAACTGTTAGGTAAGGTGAGGAAACAATGCTAAGGGTGAAAAAGCTTACGCGTCTATGACCTTAGGGTGCAACTGGCCCAGACCAGAATAGTGTGGCCTTTGCACTGCTGTCTGTGAGATTCTAACGTCATGTTAGGAAACAAAATTAATAGAAAATAGGAGTGGAGGGAGGAAAAAAGTTTCCTTAAATAAGATTGTATATATCTTTTTTTCCTCTGGATCGACTTTCTTTTTCGTTCTTTCTTTTTTCTTTTTTTTTTTTTGACATAGGGCCTCACTCTGTTGCCTAGGCAGTAGTGCAATCACCGCTCACTACAGCCTCAAGCTCTGTAGGCCCAAGAGATCCTCCTGCCTCAGCCTCCTGAGTAGCTGGGACTGGAGGTATGTGCCACTGTGCCCGGCTAATTTTTGTATTTTTTGTAGAGATGGGGTTTCACCATTTTGCCCAAGCCGGTCTCCAATTCCTGAGTGCAAGCCGTCCGCCTGCCTTGTCCTCCCAAAGTGCTGGGACCACAGGCATAAGCCACCTTGCCTGGCCTGGATTTACTTTCTTTCTTTTTATTATTATTATTATTATTTTTGAGATGGAGTCTCACTCTGTCACCCAGGCTGGAGTGCAGTGGCATGATCTCAGCTCACTGCAACTTCTGCCCCCTGGCTTCAAATGATTCTCCTGTCTCAGCCTCCCGAGTAGCTGGGACTACAGGCATGTGCCACCAGGCCTGGCTAATTTTTGTGTTTTTAATAGAGATGGGGTTTCACCATGTTGGCCAGGCTGGTCTCAAACTCCTGACCTCAGGTGATCTACTCATCGCGGCCTCCCAAAGTGCTGGGATTATAGGCGTGAGCCACTGCCATCAGCCTACTTTCTTCCTTAAAATAGCTCTTGCTTGCTTCTGCCATCTTAAATAAAACTGCCAAGCTAGAAAAAAGCCAAACCACTTGTAAGCAAAGCTATTTTTCTCTCTATCCTTTCATTTTTAATTAAAAGGCACCCTCACTTGATTTCAAATTCTATTTGAAGAGGATTCATTACAGTGGGAAGGAAAGGGGCAAATGCGGAATTGAGATCTCTAAAGCAATGAAAGGATTTCCCAAACACTTCGTTATAATGAAAAATCCCTCTCTCCTTTCTTTCCAGAGTAAGTAATATGAGAGGATCAATCATGCCAATAAATAGCTTTAATGGACAGTCCCTTTGGAAAATGCCTTTTCCCCTGTGAATCTCAGGCTGGCTTACCTCCTGTGACTTCAGGATGTCAGGAAGGTCCCCAGCTGCACAGCTTCTCCTCGGAGGTTAATAGAGCGCTTCTTTCACATGAGCCCTGACTGACTTAAACAAATAAGCTAGGATCTGGTCATTTGTAGTTCTGTCACGGAGCCAGGATGGCTACACTAGGGAATGGGAATTTTGATAGACAGAAGGCAAATGACGGGGACTTGTAGAAAGCCCTAAATAGCATGAAGACATGGGTGTCCCTCTAGGAAAGAGAGACAGGACTCCAACAGGTGGGCTATGAGTAGAAAATAAAAGGGCAAGAGCATGGATATTAAGTTTGCCTGATTCACAGTTCATCAGTGAGCTGAGGGAGGCAGAAGATGAAAGGAGTTTTTTGGAAAAGAAATAAACAAATGAAAAATAAGAAGCAACGCTATTGTTTTGTAATTCAATAAAAATTAAATCAATTAGAAAACTAAATTTAAAAATTTCAAGAAGCCGGGTGCGGTGGTGCATGACTATCATCCCAGTTACTCAGGAGGCTGAGGTGGGAGAATCCCCTGAGTCCAGAAGTTCAAGGCTGTAGTGAGCTATGATTATGCTATTACACTCCAGTTTGGGGAACAGAGCAAGACCTGAGACCCTGTCTCTTTAAAAAAAAAAAAAAAGTTCACCTAAAAATTACTTTGCTTGCATTGTGATTTTTGAGATCGTTGGATCTTCCGACCTTTAGAGTCTTTGGTTTTGAAGTAACTACCCATGTCCCTCAAGACAACGCCAGAGGTGGGCCATGCTGAGTGGGTGGGAAGGTGGGTGATGTGGGGGCTCTTGGGAATTCTCTTGAGTTGTTCAGGTTCTGGAGAGAGGGCATGGTATGTGTGATAGCGATGCTGATAACACGTACCTCTCTAGGTTTGTGCTCCTTGTAACTTGCTCTCACCTTGTTAACGGAGGATAATATGTTGCTTCTTTCCAGATACAGTGTCCTCTGCTCAACTCTGGTAATCTCAGAGTTTAAGAAGAAACAACAACGAGGGGGCTTAATATTACATTTTATCAGGATTTCCAGCCGTGAGGTAGAGAGAGAGAATGCATATTTAGTAATAGGCATGGCACTTTGAAAAAGTTACTTCATTTTCTGGTTCCTCAACTTTCTTATTTGGAGAATAAGGGTAACTTCAGCCTTACTTTATAATGTTGTTGTGAGAATTAAGTGGCATTAGGCCTTAAGCATTTTCAACAGAGGGAGGCACGTAATGAAGTGTTAGCTATGAGGACGATGACAAATAACGATTGTTGGGTGTTAGACCCTCTGTCTTTGATACCTCATTTAATTCTCAAAACCATTGTTTTAATGTAAGTATTTTCAATCTGTTTTACAATTAAGGCATCTAGTTACAGAAAGGTGAACTAACTCTCTCAAGGACACACAACTAGTAAGCTTCAGAATAAACAGGGATTGAAACCTAGTTTGATTGGGCACTCCGCCTCCCCGTGGGCACATTTTTACTGGAACCTCAGCCCTCTGAAAGCTTCCACTGTGTTCCTATAGCAGTTCTGAAAGCTGCCATTGTACTCCTATAGCAGATCTAAGAGCATCTACTGTGTTCCTATAGCACCTTGCCTGGATCCTTCTGGTGAATTTCTCCACATCCTGATTTTATTTTTTTCTTTTCAACAAACTTTCCCCTGTAAATCCCTCCTTCAGTGTAACCTTGTTAGCTTTGAGGACACACCCCTAGGCCTGGGCTTACAGCACTGCTTCTCTCCACCCCTTTCTTTTGCTTCAGTTTAAAGTGTCACGAGATTCCTCTGGTTCTCTCCCTTTGCTTTTAGCCCTCACCAGGGCAGGAGGGACCAAGGCTGGGCCCAGAACTCATAGTCCTAGGGTGACAGTGAAGGGGTAGGGAGGGGACAGTGACTCCCTTCCAACCCCTTCTTCATAGGGACTGTTGGCAAACAAAGAAAATCAACTGGGAAAATGAAGACTTGCTGGTAAGACAATAACCCTGGAAAGAGTGGTGGGGAGACGGGGCTGGGGGTCCTCAGAACCAAGGGTCTGTATTTTTGTAGCAGTGGTAGGATGAGAGTAGGTGAGCCGCAAGGTGAGAGACAGAAAGAGAGACTGATGAGAGAGTAAGACAAGAGAGCAAGCGTGAGAAACCAAAGAGAGACACAAAAAAAGAGAGAGAGAGGAAGGGAGAGAAAGTGATAGTCACAGAAAAGGAGAGAAAGGAAATCAAAGATGAAAGAAACCAGAGACAAAGAAATAGGTACCAAAACAGTGAGATAGGTAAATATCGAGAAAGTGAGATCAACAAAACAACAGGGACAGTGGGGGCTGGAAACATGAGTTCCTTACATCTCTCAGTAGGGTTTCAAAGTAAAAATGAAGGCCAGGCGCGGTGGCTTACGCCTGTAATCCCAGCACTTTGGGAGGCCGAGGTGGGCGAATCATGAGGTCAGGAGTTCAAGACCAGACTGACCACCATGGTGAAACCCTGTCTCTATTAAAAATAGAAAAAGTAGCTGGGCGTGGTGGCACATGCCTGTAATCCCAGTTACTCAGGAGGTTGAAGCAGGAGAATCGCTTGAACCCGGGAGTTGGAGGTTGCAGTGAGCCAAGATTGCGCCATGGCACTCCAGTGTGGGCGACAGAGTGAGACCCCGTCTCAAAAAAAAAAAAAAGAAAAAAAGAAAAAGAAAAAGAAAAGAAAAAAATAAACTATACTGGGATTTGATCACCTTATATTAATTAGGTTTACCAGGTTTGAAAATATGGAAGTAGTTCCCATCTGCAGGGACTCCTGTTTGAGTCACTTTTCTTCTCTCTTCTTCAGGAAAATTCCAGTTTTCTTCTTTGTGTGCAGTTTCCTGGAGCCCTGGGCATCTGCAGCTGTCAAGCGTCGCCCCAGTAAGGGCCATAGTTCCTAGACTTTCAAAGATTACTTATTCCCAGAAATGATCAGATAGGGTTGTGGCTGACTGAAGACTGAGTGAGGCATCCATGGTCCTTCACACCCTCACTCTTCAATCCACCTTTGGGGCATGGGGATACCCTACTGGCTGGTTTTCCATGGTCAATGCTGGGTATGGAAAGTAAGTCCTGCCAGTAATCACAGTTGGCAGGAAGGCTAATCTGTGTGCTGCAGTGCCTAGTGCAGTGCCTAGAACAGATGGTGATTGGTAAATGTTGGGTGAATACATGGATGAATAAATAAATAGATTGATGGATGAATGGACCTCAACAATTTGGGGTGAGGACAGTATAAGGAGCATGTTTGATGTACCATGATGGTTAGGCCCATGCTTTTTGCATTTTTATTTTTATTTTTTTGAGATAAAGTCTCACTCTGTCACCTAGGCTGGAATGCAGTGACATGATCTCGGCTCACTGCAACCTCTGCCTCCCAGGTTCAAGTGATTCTTCTACCTCAGCCTCTCAAGTAGCTGGGACTGCAGGCATGTGCCACCATGCCTGGCTAATTTTTTATATTTTTAGTAGAGACGGGCTTTCACCATGTTGGTCAGGCTGGTCTTGAACTTCGGACCTCAGGTGATCTGCCTGCCTCAGCCTCCCAAAGTGCTAGGATTACAGGTGTGAGCCATGGCACCAGGCCCATGCTTTGCAAGTGAATAATACTTTTTCTGAAGTCTAGAGCGTCTCTGTTGTCAGATGAATCTTAGCAAGGCACTGAGGTTGGATATTTCCAAGAAGCCTTCCGTGGTGGTGAAAAACTCTCTTCCCTTGACCTTCCATTTGTGTAAGGAGAACACAATTTCCGCTCTATGATTTCTTATCAAATTGAGGATTTAATCCTTCTCATGATTATTTTCTTCTTCTTTTTACTCTTCCCAGTTCTAAGATGTTAGGAGTAATTTAGTAGGGACCTTTATTTGATCTCTTAGAATGAATTTATGAAATCAAATGCATCCTCTATATTTTATTTAGGATTAGTGAATCTCAAGACTTCCCCAGGCCCCTATATCTGACAAAGATTCCTAAGAACTCTACTCTCCAGAAGCCCCTCTGAACTGGACCAAGATTGGCTCTGGAATCTCATTGGAATCCTAAAATTTGTGGTGTTTAAGGAATATTTTCTAGCCCGAACCACCAGAAATTTTCCAAACAGACTTCTGACCCTGTGCCATTCAGGACACCATTCAGCTTTGGTTTCAAAAGGAACAAATGCCTAACCTCTCCAAAACGAACATTTTCCAGCAACAGATTATTAGAGAAACTTTGTGCCTTGCATCCACTCCTTCCAGGTTGAGTTGCAGGTGGATGGATTATAATCATAGATGCATGGAGGTAAAGCCAAACATGCTACCTCTAAGCAAGCTGGTATAATATTGAATTTTAAATATTTATTATTATTGATGCATCCTGAAATCTTTAGAGTGGATGAAGTAGAATGACATGCTATCTCTTTTGCAGGATTCCCTGCCAATTCCAATTCTAATGGTGAAAATGAACTCTGTCCTAAGATCAGGATTGGCCAAGATGACTTACCAGGTGAGTAGCAATGTAGCCTATTGAAAATGCAGGCTTTCTATAAACCTGATATATATATTTTTTATTTGGGAAAGTTGCGGAAAGGAATAAAACCAATCTCATTTTAGACTTTTCATTTTGTATTCCCATTCTGTAGGGTTTGATCTGATCTCTCAGTTCCAGGTAGATAAAGCAGCATCTAGAAGAGCTATCCAGAGAGTAGTGGGATCAGCTACATTGCAGGTGGCTTACAAGTTGGGAAAAAATGTAGACTTCAGGATTCCAACTAGGTAATCTATCAAAAATATTTTAATCTAATTATCTGACTCAAATGCATTAAAATGGATAGCTATCCAATGTTAGGGTTTTCTTATGATCAATGTTTCTTGGATTATAATTGTATTTAAAGATGAAGAAATTTGTTTACCTGCCTGTCTTCAGTGCCAAATACTGCATTTCATGTTTTCAGTATGTAATTTACTTTCCATTCCAGGAAAAAGCATCACTGAGACTATTATACATTGATTCAGGACATGTTCTTATTACCTTGCTTTCTGTTTTTCTATAATTTGTCTGGTTTTGACTGAAAGGACCCTCTGTGAAAAGTGCCAGGGGGTAAGCATAAATTTAACTAGGAGCCACAGAGTGGTTAGAAGACTCACAATGGTGCTGTTCAAGTGTCCTGGTGCTGAAATAGAGCCACACGTCCACTGCTTGGCTCCTGGCAGACATCAAACCAAAGCAAAACTAAAATAATTATAATAGAAACAATGATAGTAATACTAACAACATCAAATCCTGCACTTCACTGATTTCTTTGTCTGGAACTAAGCCTTTTGCTCTTTATTTATAACTGAGGTACTTTAGTGTATGTGTTGAGTCCTGTCATCATTGTGAATGAATCTCAGCAATTTAGTTTTGATATCACCTAAATACCTTATTTATGATTATGATAATTATTATATGCTTTAGCACAATGTAAAAAAGCTAGAATTAAGATTCCTTTAGTAGATAAATAAGACAATTAGGACTTCGATAGAAATTAAGGTGTAAAGGTAAATAATGATTAATTAGATCAATAAAATAATATAGAAACTCAATGTATATAAAAAAAATTTTGAACAAATTAGAACAATCTGATGTAATAGTACCAGATTACAGCTAGAAATTCATGTTTTGAACATACTATATATTATTGTATAATACAATAATAGTACATTATATGAACTCTTTCTATAAATTTATTAATTAACAATAATCTCATTCTCATCACAATCCTGTGATGTAGGGGCATTATTAACCTTTTTTTTCTTAAATCAGGGATCCCCAAAAGTTTAATTTACTTGCATAAGGTGAGTGGGTTGGAACGTGCTGGAAAGACTGAATCCCAGGCAGAATGGTTGCAAAGGTTGTACTTCTAACCACTACTCCATATTGACTCTGGAAAACCATTCACATCTGGAAAGATTAAGGACATGATAACAGTGACACTCACTGTTTTTTTCCTCATAATTTCTTTTCATGTATGGAAGTGCCAGTTGTGTTGCTAAATAAGCTTTAAATATTCAGTTTTTTCTTTCTCAAATAATTAAGCAAAACATGAGGTCCTCAGTGCTGACCTGATTTTCTCTTCTAAGATTTGAGGTACTGTCATTAAATCTTAAGTTCAGAGATTGATCAATGTGCTGCCACGTGGCTTCCTTACCTCCTGCTCAACTTTGTTGTTGCTTTTCTCGAAATGCCTAGAGCTATCACTAAATAGTGTACTCAGGCTATATCTAATGCCTCACATTTGCTACCCTTGACTCCCTGCTCCCATAAAGACTGAAAAATCTTGTTTTACTGTCAAGCCTTATTACAAGATAAGGAAAGAAGGAGGAAGAAATTAGGAAAAGAAAGTAGAGAATAAAAAGAGAAGAAGGAAAGTTAGAGGACTGAGACATGTGGAATTCCAAGTAAAGTTTATTCTTGGGAAAGTACTTAGACTATCTTTACTTCAGTTCCCTCAATTTAAAATTAGGAATAATAACTATGTCATAAGGTTGCTATGCAGAGTAGGTGTTCATAACTGGAGAGTGCTTGAAGAACCCAGTCCACGCTGGTATTGGGTAAGTGTTTATTATTAGTGGTGAAGAGCACTAGACGTAGAGAATGCATGTATATGAAAGTCTTTCCTCCTTAGAGGATCCTTTCTTTACAATCTGCCCTCCAAGTCCTGCTAATTCAAAAGCCAGGTGACAAGGAGACTAGGGATGGGAATTGCTCTCGGCCATGCAGGGTATAGACAATGTTCGTATAAAGGGACTTTCTGTGCTGGAGAACATAGGCTCCCAGACAGTGAAAGAAACTATTAGCAGGATCTTTGTAGCAGGAAAATATTACAGTATATGGAACTGATGGGAAAGAGTCACAATTTATCCTTATTTATCTTTTCTATTTTTTGAAAGACTTAAGAGACACATACTTTTTTTTTTTTTTTTTTTTGCTGCTTTTTATTCCTTATTTTAGGCATAATAGTTTTACACTCTCAACTCCCGCTAACAAACATGTTATGTTTATTTTCCTTAAAAACACAATATTTTCTTGGATTAAGGTCACAAATAAATGTTTCAAGGTCCAAAGACTATTTAATCTTTCATTCAAACCCTTATGATTCTTCATTTAAGGTACTCTTTGAAGGCTGTAATATAATGAAATAAATCATTTATAGGTACCGCTTATTTTAAATTATGCATGCTGTCAAGTTTACTTACTGATGTGCATAGCATGTTTGCAAGAACAGAATTTCAGGTATTCCAAGGAAAGACAGTGGGACTGACTGTTCCATAAATTAAACTTGTGAGACTTTTAAGTTGTCTTAGGTATACACAAATACATATATGTTTTATTAGTATAAATACCAAAATGAATTTTCTCTTCTTACCATATTGACATACTATACTAGCCTAGTTTAAAAGATCAAAGATCAATAACAAGATAATCTAGATTATTTCTACACATATTCACACACATATATTATCTTCATATATACGGAGAGAAAGAGACAGATACCATTAGTTTAACAACGTAGCTATAAAAATGAGGTATTCATTTAGCCATCTCAAACCTACCCTCCATCATTTTAAATTAATTATTTTCTTTTTTTAGTTTTTGGCATTACATACACCAAGTCAGAGATATATTAAGACATTATGTCCTTTCCTACCTTTAACATAATGTCTTCATTGAGTGGGAAAGATTGAATGAAACACAAATTGGGAGAACTCCCTCAGTTAACCCCAGGATGTATTTTCACAAGAGTCACCTGAACACATTACTGGGACTTCCAGAATTGAAACAAAATAGATTTTTTAAGGGAACTGATTATATTCTACAGTTTTGTTCAGTATATCTATAGACAGATGTATAGATAACACAGATTAGGTTATTTTTGAAGCCTGGAAAAATAATGCTTAAGGAAGAGAAGAAGCAGCATTAGATTTTATTGTCCTTTTAAAAAACCTCATGCTTCAACAATAACTATCTTGGACAAAAATAAGAAAATAAATTATTTAAGCATGTGGTTAAATCCCAATCATTAATTAAAAATAATAATCAAAATAATCTATTTACAATTTAAACGGACACTTGCCCAATTTCACAATTGAGTGAAACTTGAAAACTATCTCCCAGCTCCAAATTTATTGAGGTAAGTTAGGTAAGATGTACAAACTTCCGTAAGGTTTTATAATTATACAATACTCAGTGCATTTTTTGTGAATAGTGAATCTTAGCTTCTTTTCTAGAGGTTATTCTGGAATAGATATAATTCTGAAAAATATAAAGTCAAAGAAAATGTGACAAACTGATAGATAAACAGGAAATATATTAAAAACAAGTATCTGGAGTGATGTAGTAGACAGTTTCATATGGGGAAAAAAAGTCAGTAAATGGTTCTCGTATAATTTTTTCTTTAGCTCCGTATTGCATATTTTAAAATGTACACTTGATGGTTATAAAACATAGGCAGTAACTGAAAACTTTGCAATATGAATAATACACATCACCAGTGAAAAAAATGTGCATGGATAAAATAATTCATCCCGCACCCTAAATACAAACCAGTCATATTACAAAGTAATGGTTAAAAAAATACTTTTATGATGAAAGAGTATTCAGATGAAAAGTTTAACTTTTTTGTTATCTTTAGAAAACTAACAAAGCAATAAAATTTGTTGAGATAGATGACCCATTTTATTGAAGGCTTATAAAAATACTTGCATAGAAAGAAGTTGAAGATTTGTTTATGTTGTTATAAGACATAATAAAGTTTTATAATTAAAATCATAGTAAAGATAGAAGATCTTAGCAAATTAAAGAGGGCTACAAAACAAGAATTTGACTTGAAGGAAGGTTATTTGGGATTCTGGGTCCTGGTCCATAACTGTTCTCAAAAATATAAAATTTTTATTGTTTAGCACAGAAAATTCATTAGCATTTAGTTTGCCTAACATTTCTTCCTTGCTTACGTATTTTTCTATGCTTAGAAGGGGAAATGTAAAAAGACATAATGTTTAAGTCCTTGAAAGACGATGCTTACATTTAACATGCTGATTTTTACAGTTCAGTCTTCAGCTTTTAGCAGCTTGGCTTCAGCAGAAGACTATCCAGGTAGCTGGTGCAGGTCCAGACCACAATCTCTGTATAGGGTAGAGATGCCTCAGGGATACTACTGGTTTTATTCTGCCATTTAAAGCAGGAAAGGAGTTAGCAATGATACAGACTTAGTTGGCAGATTAAGGAACAACTGGGCCGGATGCAGTGGCTCACACCTGTAATCTCAGCACTTTGGGAGGCTGAGGCAGGCGGATCACCTGAGGTCAAGAGTTTGAGACCAGCCTGACCAACATGGTGAGACCCTGTCTCTACTAAAAATACAAAAAATAAGCTAGGCATGGTGGTGGGCACCTGTAATCCTAACTAGTTGGGAGGCGGAGGCAGGAGAATCGCTTGAACTTGGAAGGTGGAGGTTGCAGTGAGCTCAGATGGCGCCATTGCACTCCAGCCTGGGCAATAAAGTGAGACTCCATCTAAAAAAAAAAAAAAAAAAAAAAAAAAAAAAGCAACAATTGAGTTGCAGTAGAGAAGTAAGAATTGGTCACTTTTCCCTTGTCACATATCCAGTGTGACAAACTGCTACTTTAACATCATAATTTGAACTCCCTAAAAAAAGACAAACATGCTCAGTGTGAAGATGCTCCTGAAGTCCTCAGTTACTGATTCTCAAAATACTTATATGGGTCTGGGATATAATTGTGGAGTGAATATCCAAGCAATTATGGAAATAACAAATAATCTTAACATGTTACTTTAAAATAAAAAAAAAATTAGAAGCTGCTAGCTGCTTTAATTAAATCGTTTCATAAGCTAGTACTGCTGATTTACATTCCTGATGATCTCCTCTCTCACTTGTGAATGAAATGTTGCCAAGAACTTTGCAAGAATGTATTTTTTGGCTGAGATGAAATTGCTGAACAGTAGCTCTTTGGGTAGTATAAATAGTAATATTGTTGGGATTATGTGGCATTGGGAACCTTCCTTAGCCATGAGGGAGAGTGTTTTTAAAATGTGTATTTTAAGATGGACCATGAATGCACACGAACGATTGAACTTCTGTAAAGGTCTTTATGAACAGTCATGAAAGAACAAACGGTACATAGTTTTTTACACTGCAGCCTTTCGGTAGGTCTGGCATCTGAAATAGCCTCAAAAGGGAATATGGTAAATACATATGGGTACAGGAAACAAGATTCATATTTACTATTTAAAAATTTTACTCAGGAATTTATATCCCAGTGGACTGCCTGAAGAATACTCCTTCTTGACGACGTTTCGAATGACTGGAAGCACACTCAAGAAGAACTGGAACATTTGGCAGATTCAGGATTCCTCTGGGAAGGAACAAGTTGGCATAAAGATTAATGGCCAAACACAATCTGTTGCATTTTCATACAAGGGACTGGATGGAAGTCTCCAAACGGCAGTCTTTTCGAATTTGCCCTCCTTGTTTGATTCCCAGTGGCATAAGATCATGATTGGCGTGGAGAGGAGTAGTGCTACTCTTTTTGTTGACTGCAACAGGATTGAATCTTTACCTATAAAGCCAAGAGGCCCAATTGACACCGATGGCTTTGCTGTGCTGGGAAAACTTGCAGATAATCCTCAAGTTTCTGTTCCAGTAAGTATAAAACCACACACTATGGCAGATTAAAGCAAAACTAGATTGGTAAAAATGAATATCTCAAGCATCTTTGATAATCAGCTGAGTGTAGCCTGTCCTGGATGGAATTTGGAATCAGAGGAATTTAGGTAGATAGCTTCTGGTCTCGAGGAGCTTAAAGCTGGAAAGTGTTACATGCCCACCTAGCACACCCAGAGTCTTTCTGAGGCAACTTAGAAAGAAAGCCATACTAATGTGGCACATATTGTATACACATAACTAATGAGAATCTTCAAAGTAAGGTTGAGGTGGGTGACAGATTCAGTTAGTCAAGAATCCTATGCTTCTTGGAAGCAATGAACTTTGAAATGAAAGGATTTGGATTGGCAAAAAGGGAGGAGAAAGTACATTCTAGCTGAGGGAAACACCATTAAGGAAAAAAGAGAATAAGTAGACCACATTCAAAGGCCTAGGGACTCACTGATTTGGATGATATGTATATATGAAAAAGTGTGTGTGTGTGTGTGTGTGTGAGAGAGAGAGAGAGAGAGATAGAGAGAGGGAGAGAGAGAGAGGAGGGTGAGATACTATCTTCAGAGTGGTGAGAGATGAGGGTAGAAAGCCATAAGATGTCTGGTCAACAAGAATGAAAGTTATATAGATGCATGATATGGATTTATTTAGAAGTAGGTCTTGCATGATGTGTGGTGGAAGTGAAGGATTTTAGAGCTCTGTTCATGATTTTGCTGCAGAGATCCCCAGATATAAATGTAAGGAATTATATATTGACACAATAATTGTGCCAACTAGGACCAGATAGTTCTATCATTTTGAATTGTTATACTTTAACTGAGCAATGCTTTAAAAGGATGTTTTATAATATTGTGATAGGAATTTAGAAAATGCATCTTAGAGGACAAGTGTTCTTTTGAAGGAAACAAAGGAATTTAGAGCTCAATACATAAACCATTGATGCCAACCTCTCTTTCTCTCATACTAGCTTGGAGCTGTTAAATTCTAGTCACAAAACCCACATCATGGGGTGTAGCAGGGTGATACAATGATTTCAAATTGTTTCTGTGCACGTCTCCAAAGAATAAAAGGTTATCAGGGATCTCAGTAATGGAATTGTTCAAATAACTTGTTTTCAAGGGAAGAATTGTGATTAGTGTGAAGGGTAGTGTGAAATTTCTATATTCTGTGATGGACAGGAAGCAATTTGTAACTGCCATATTACTTCTCTGGCTTGTAGACTCTTGAGAAAGTATTTCTTCATTTAATGAGTTATCACACCTCAAGTGGCTGGGTTAGAAAGCCGATTGGACTACTGTTGTGCCATCTTGAAATTCTGTGCAGCAAGATCTTTGCAATGACACTGGAAGGGTTCTCAGACAATACTGAATTTCTGCAAGTAGCTGTTCATTTCCGGGCCATGGGTGAAGGAGAAGATACTTTAGGTTACCTCCTCACTATTACAAACATCAATCAAGTATTTTAAACATTTATTTATTTATTCATGGGATTAAAAAAACTTAAGTCTTTTTTTTTTTTTTTTTTTTTGCTGCTTTTTATTCTGGAGTGCAGTGGCCGTATCTCAGCTCACTGCAAGCTCCGCCTCCCGGGTTCACGCCATTCTCCTGGCTCAGCCTCCCGAGTAGCTGGGACTACAGGCGCCTGCCACCTTGCCCGGCTAGTTTTTTGTATTTTTTAGTAGAGACGGGGTTTCACCGTGTTAACCAGGATGGTCTCGATCTTCTGACCTTGTGATCCGCCCGTCTCGGCCTCCCAAAGTGCTGGGATTACAGGCTTGAGCCACCGCGCCCGGCCAAAACTTAAGTCTTTATAACACTAAATTCCGTGAGCTAAGATGCTATTAAATTGTCTTATTGCCAGAGCAGTAAACTGAAGTTTTACTATTACTTCATTATCCTATAGCCTTGCCAATAATGTCAGAGCTGATTGTAGATTTTTCTGCCAACTCTATTCGCTCATCACAATGGAGACAAGTTAGTACCAATTACTTTCTATTTTATTCTACCACATGCAGGAGTGCAACCAGAAACCTGGCAGCTGGCTTTACATGGTGCTTCTGGTCCACCAAGAAGCTTTTCTAAATCAGTATACCATAGCCAATGTTAAAAAGTATTTGAAATAGGCATGTACAAGTATCTTCCTTCAGACTGAATTCTGACTCCCTTATCAGGAAACACAAAAAAGACTTGAGCCTAACGCCCATTAACATTCCATACTGGCTGATGATGGCGGAAATGTGACAGTGACAATGGCAGCTAAACTGGATCAAGGTTATAAGCCAAAACAATACTGTCCACATTTAACAACTGGAAGTGACAACGTGAAGCTCAAACTTCTCACCAAAATATATTTCTCAAACTTCATTTTATATAAGATAAGGAATTAGAACACTATGTAAGAAAAGCCAACTTACACTTTTTTAAAACATCATCTTAGTATGCTTAATATACCAATTCAAGTTTTTGAAATGCTTTTATTCCCATTAACTTATTTGATTCTTGCAACAATCTTGTAAAATAGAAAGTACAGATAGCATTATCTCCATTTCTCAGCTGAGGAAGTGAACTCACACAGATCTATTAACTTGTAAGAAATAGTGTTAGGCACAACATTTCTAATCTACCTTATCTTCTGCTATGCCAACTAGCTTTCCTTTGGGATAAAGAAAAATGCATGCAACCACATGTTTTTCCTTATAAAGAATCTCATTATTCTTACTTTGAAAGGCATTTGTGATTTGCCTTTAGAATTTACTTTGCAGGAAAAACCAAATAAATTTTTTAAAAGTGGGAAGTTTGTACAGTATGAAACATGTCCTCAGACATTAATCCAACTTGCTTATTTACCTAGTAAACTTTCATTGAATGTGTAAATATTGGGTATACAAAGAGAAATAAATCACAGACTTTTTCTTCAGTCTATTGAGAATAAGGAGTTGAGACAAGTAAATGATTATCACAATACAGCATGATAAGTACCATGATAGTGGCTAGTGCTGCGTGCCAAGAAACACACAGAAAAAATATCTCCTCACTCAGATAAGAGCAGGGAGGCATGACAGTGGGGGCCAGGGATGTTTCTTAAGGGATTTGATGTCTGAAAGGAGTCCTGGTGATGAAAACATCACCCAGGAGAAGACAAGGTACAATGCTCCAGACAGACGGGCACTCGTTTGGAAATTCCCACGTGTATCAGTTCTTCCATTTTCAAGCTTTGTTAGTGTTCCCATATTGTTCCTTATTTTTCAAAACTGAAGGTAGTCAAACACTCATAGAAGCCCACAGACAAAGCCTGTGTATCCATGAGTTGTCCTTAGCCCCTTGTTTTAATTTTATGGCCTATTTTCTTAGACTTCTCACCAATTTGGTTGAAATCTGAAGCTGCTGACAGTTGCTGAAGATGAACAATGACTACCTGTCCCTTGGAGGACTTAGAGAGTGATGGATAGTGGTATGTACATATTCTGAGAGGTAGAAGAACTGTACTGATAGGTCACCATTCTCTCAATTTGGAGATGCAAATATTCAATATTACTGTGTTAGAAATTTTAAATTAAAATGAAATAGCACAAAAATACCATAAAAACAATAAGAAAAAGTGTAGTTTTACATTTTCCTTTATGGAATTGAATTCATTCTAATCTTTGACACTCTACATTAATTGAAGAATTTTTTCAGAGTCAACCCTTGCTTTTCTTTAGTAAATAAACCAAAAGCAAAATATTCCTTCTAAAGGGATTATCAGATGTCAAAAAGTAGCCCAAGGAACTTCATAATAAAAAATGCAATTGAAAACAACATTTGATAGATCACTGACGCTAAAAGAGTCACTTATATGGTACTTGTTTGCTATTTTCCACCTGCCTATCCTATCTTTTGTCCCCTTCTTTTGTAAGTTGAAAAAGAAAGCCAATTTCAAAAGGTTTTCATAAGCTTGTGATATAGCTGTTCACGTGTTCTACATCTCAAACATCTTCTCATCATTCATGGTTATTTAGTGGGCTCGGAGCATTTTATATTTTTTCCCAATGCACTGCTGTAATACATTGTTAGTTTGATTTTAAAACAATAAATCCCATATATTTTATTCTCCTTTGTGCCAATATTTTAGGATGGTGCCATTTATCCCACTTCAAAGCTTGGTTTCCTGGCAGTCTACCATAAAAACATGTTATTTTATGACAGGTTCTTTATTGTTTGTTGTCAGCATGATAGCCTAGGAGAATTATTTGGTACAGCTCTATTAGAAAACAAAGTTGGCCTTTTTCCCTTTTCAGAGATATATGCTGGGAGTCTGGGCTTGTTTGAGGGAGGATAAAAGTTTATGTGGCTTAACAAACATATGGCTCAAACCATTTTTTTTTACCTGTGCATATTCCAAAGAAGCCAACATGGAACGTGATTAATCGGACAGACTTACTGCTTTAAAAAGTATATTATCAAATGCATGGCTCTGTGTTTATTTTCACTAGATTCAGAGGAGAGCAGGCAAAACTGTTGTCGGAAAAGCTATATATACTTTTCTCCATCCACAGAATTGAATCACACTAACTTCCACATGTAAAAACAATATAAGTTTCATGAATTATAACATGGGAAAAATAAATTGTGAGGTTGTGATTAATATTATTTCTGATATTTGAGAAATACTATTGGAAAGTTGTGTTTTTAGTAATTTAGGAAATGCATGCTATCTATTATGCATAAAACTATTGAGTTTGCTTATTAAGTTGTTTTTGATGAGTACATCTTTTACAAATACTCTTTCAGTTGGAAGTAAAAATTAAATTAAAAAGAAAAAATGGCAATATTTTCTATACATATCGATAGGAAATATTTTTATAAAATTTTGATTTGATTAAAACGTTTTTGAGTGCTGTCAAAACAATTTTATTTTATATTTTGGAGATGAAACTCAGCCTGCTGCATTGTAGACCATATTAACAACCTCAGCTCGGTTTTCCACTAGGTGGCAATGAAATGAGG